GGGGGGGGGGGGGGGAAGGAGTACAAGAAACATGGGAATTATGGGGAAGGTGAGTTGATGTAAGGCCCTATAAAATTTTACCTAAAACTCGGGGTTTCATGGTGCCGAGGTAGACCGTGCGTTGGGGAGTTGAAGAAATTTTTTGGAAGTGCAGGGTATTTTTGCACTCCTTTATGCGATCACACAACTGATTTACAGATTGCAGATTTGTCGCAGACTAAAGCAGAAACTTGGGCAAATATTTGGACCATAGATCGCAGAACTGACCTCGTGCATCAGGCTATAGAGAAGGTTAAGATCATTACAGAACGGTTGAAAACTTCCTAGAGTCATCAAAAGTCCTATTCGGATATACGTCGTAGGGATTTGGAGTTCCGAGAGGATGATTGGGTATTCTTGAAGGTTTCCCCATGAAGGGGGTAATGCGGTTTGGTAAGAAGGGGAAATTGAGTCCAAGCTATGTCAGAACGTACATCAATCAGGTGGCTTGCAGGCTAGAACTACCTCTAGAGATGTCTTTAGTTCACCCAGTGTTTCATGTATCCATGTGAAGAAGGTGGTTCGAGATCCATCACTTATTGTTCCGGTTGAGACTATAGAGGTTAATGAAGGACTAACTTATGAAGAAATTCTAATTGCCATTGTTGATAGGCAAGTTCAGAAGTTGCGAAATAAAAAGATTGCCTCCGTGGAAGTGTTATGGCAACCAACAGGTTGAGAAGGCCACCTGGGAAGCCGAGGAATAGATGAAGAAGAAGTACCTAATTTATTTGAATAGCTATGTAATTGTATCCATGATGTTAAGAGCTAATTTTCTGCAAATTATGATTTCCCATGTACAACTTATGTTAAGGACACTCCCTCTTGGTATTGCAATGTTTATGGCGTTGTTGCTGGTGTTGTTTCCATATTGTTTCATATCGTTGTGGTTGTATTGTTAGGATTGGTTTCTAGGATTCTCTGACAGGTAGATAGGCCCAATTATAGGGAAAACACTACCAAATTTTTTAGAAATTTAGGGAGTTAGTCAAAAATTTGGGGACTGCTGGTATGTGAAGTAATAGTTGAATCACAGCGGATGCTAATGACGACTTTTGACCCTCATTCGAGGACGAATGATTCTAAGCGGGAGAGGATGTAAGGCTCCGTAAAATTTTACCTAAAACTCGGGGTTTCGTGATGCCAAGGTAGACTTATGCGTTGATGGAGTTCGGACTTTTTAGGTTGAACAGTGCGTTAGGGAGTTGAAGAAATTTTTTGGAAGTGCAGGGAGTTTCTACGGTCCATTCTGCGATTGCATAACTGATCTGCGGATCGCAGATCTGCTGCAAACTGAAGCAGAACTTGGGCAAATTTTTAGACCATTATGCGGCCACATAATCATTTTTCGGGCCACACAACCTATCGCAGTTCCATTACAAAAATTTTGGAGGGAAGTTCTACGGTGCATTATGCGACCTCAGAATAGGTTTGCGGACCGCAGACCGGTCAAGAGTGAGGTAGAAGTGCCCAGTTTCGGAGGGCTATTATGTGGTCCATTTTGCGTACCGTATAAGCATTATATGGTCGCATATGCTACCACATATCGGCGTTGGGGTTTCATTTATCTAATTTCTTTTAACCCGACCCTATCGCGATAAATAGACATAACGGACCAGCTTTGAAGGGAATATCTGATATTTTTAGAGAGTAGAAGTGACCTATAGTGAAAGGAGAAATCCCTAAGCTAATGTTCATCCAATATCTTGCTCAAACCTTGAAATTCAACAAGAAATCTCACAAGGTCTTCAACCAAGAGGTAAGATTCTAGCCCTAATCTTCAATTTCGAATTTTGTTTGGGAATAGGTAATGGGGAGGAAGGTTTTGAGAATGAGGGTTGTTGGTTATGCATGCATGTACATTCATGAGTTGTGGGAAAGTAGTTGAACTCAAATAGGTAGACCTTGGGTTGTGGAGTGAAGGAAATCCTCCATAGGAGAAGCTAGAAATCATAATGCTACCTATTGTTTGATAAAATGCTCAAATGAGCTAAAAACATGAACTCCCCCCTAATTTATATTCAGTTTTGCTATATCTCTAAATAGATCAAAGTTGCTAGGATTTCTGGAATGGTGTAGTGAATTAAGGAAAGCTCAAAGCGAGGTATGTTGGCTAAACTCCTCCTTTAAAATTGAACCCCACAATGGCCTTGTAAGTCTCGTGTTGCTTATTATAAATTGATTATTACGAATAAACCTTGTGTCAAAAGATATATGCATTCAATTTGTATTCCAAATGTTCTTGTCATGTTGGGCTACTATTTGATAAGGTGATTAAGCATGGGCTGTGTGTTAATATGTTATGACTTGAAAACATGATTCTAATGAAAACTAGCGTGTCGAATTGTGTAAGAAACCACATGCGCCTAAGACCCTTAATTTGGTTAGTTGCTCAAATGTTTATTTAAAGTCTTGAATAGAAATGTTTGTTGTTGATAATCCATGATGATGTTTGAAAATGAAACAGTAAATATAGAATATGAAATACGGCCAACGTGCCAACAATGACATTATATTTGGGGCTATTACTGCCAATAAAACAAACATGCGAGAACAAGATGTTGAAATGAGTTGTGAATCCTTTTAAAAAATAAATACTCTGGGAGTATTGTTTAGTCACTGAGGGAGGGTAGGTCAAAATAACCTAACTCCAAAACTACACGTGCCCGTGTAGGAGCGATTGAGGGATAAATCCCCGTGTTAATGTGATGAGGTTGTTTTCTTTTATATGGAATGAGAATGATGTGTTGAGATGTTTCCCATTAAATGGAATGAGATTATTGCTAGCGAGATATGTTGTGATGTCGACCCACACGATATTGTGGTGAAACGGCTTCGCCGATCGGGTTGAGATCGGACGCCATGCCGCGCACATGGTAGTATTGTGAATGGATGTCTCGGGGTGAGACGGTTAGCCGGTCGGGCTGAGATCGGACTCCGTACTAAAAACGCGATGGTGTATCGGTGCTAAAGATCTCCCAACTTAAAATACCAAAATTTTACTTGAAAATTTCCTTTCCCTAATTTGACACCTTGATACTGTTTGAGTCTCTTATTGATTTTATGTTTTCTTCTCCGTTTACTGTTATTCATTCTATTGAGAGTGTATTCAGTTTTACATACTAGTACTATTTCATATATGCTAATGTCCTTTTGTCGGGGGCGCTGGATCTTTATTAGATGCAGGTGGTATTGATCAGTGATAGCAGCATACCCTCTCCTCAGCTGACTTGGTGAGCTCCACTTCATTTCGGGGTCCTATATCTCTTGTCCTTTGTACACAGAGTTTTGAGGTATAGCAGGGGCCATATTGCCTGCATTGTCGTAGCACTCTTTTGTTTCTGTTAGAGGCTACATAGACATAGTGTGGGCTCTATCTTGTTTTTGGAAAGGTTAAACTAAAAATGTTGTAATCTTATCATCTGTTCCACTTTAACTATGATTGTACAGTGTACTATTTTGGAGACTTGTTAATGACGTAACTAATGAAAATGAACTGGTGTTATTCACATGACCACTTACTGTCTAATTAATGAAATGTATTCTTATATTTAGTCATGGGTGAGTTGGGTAAACGACATTGTGCAGTCTTTCTCGATCAGGGTAACTCTGTTGAGCGCCGGTCGTGCTCCCCAAGGTCGGGGCATGACAAACTTGGTATTAGAGCCTAAGGTTTTAAAGTGTCATAGGATGTCTCGGAGCCGAGTCCTTCTTATCGGTGTGTTGTTGACCACATCTATAATTAGGAGGTTACTTGGGAATTTAGGAATAATACCCTTATTTAATGTTTTAGATCGTGCTATAAAGCTGATTGTAAGATTGTTCCTCCTTTAACTCGTGCATTGCGCTAATTTTTAGTATATGGCGCCTAGGAAAAAAGCAAGAACTGGTCAAAGAGCCAATGCCGCCCTAGGAGTGGTAGTTAATTCTTTACTTGATGATGCGGGTGAGCACCCGAGGGGTAAGAATCTTCCCCCGACTACTACACTGCCTGATTCTACTATACCTGATTAGACTGTAGCTGTCCGTACACCTGCTAGGG